TGCTCGCTGGAGAGAGAGAGAGAGAGAGAGAGAGAGAGAGAGAGAGAAGGAGGGAGGGAAGGAGGGAGGGAGGGATGGAGGGAGAGAGAAAGTCGCTCCCCAGGTGGGATGGCCATGCTGCAATCCCATCTCCTCCATTTTTCCCTTGGGATTTTTGGGCATGCACGCACACATTACTTTCAAGCTGCCTGGGTCTGGGACTTAAACTGTGGTTGGCCATGTGGGAGTCTAGCCCCTAAGCCACCATGCTGCCTGCCGGCCCCTCATGTGTCATTTTTGATGGTAATGAAGCATTCTATCAAGTGTACGTGTCTTAATTGCTTAACCACTCCCGCAGCTGGTAGTTAGCTTCATGACGTGTTGAGGATGTGTTTTAATGATGTCTTTGTTGTGCTCTCTTTCTGCAGGCAGAGACGTTTGTTTGGGCTAACAGTGCATCAGCACATTCCCAGAGCGTGGCCAAGGCCAAATACGAGTTTTTATTTGGCAGATCTGAGGAAAAAACTCCAGCCACTAGTAAGTGTTCCCCGACTCCCCTGCTTTGGTAAAAGACGTGAAATGCTGCTGCTTTCTGAGTGTTCGTTTTCCTCTATTGCTTCCTTTTTGCCTCTTTGGTACCGGTGTAATCTGTTCATAAAAACAATCTTTCCATCAGGTGGGATTCGGAAATATCAGATGTAGTTCTTGTAGTCTGTTCTAGATCATTCCGAGTCATGTTCATGGTTTAAATCATTTTCAGTTTCTGATCTTTGAAATTTCAAGAATTAATGATGTCTTGGAGCTGTCAGGTGGCGTGGTGGTTAAGGGTGCTGGGTTTCCCCATGGCCACCTGCAGTTCGAGTCCTGGGCCTAGCAGCTTGCTTTCTCTCACTCTGTCTGGTCAAATTAAAATAAATAAAGTTAAATGAAATAATTCTTTAAAAAAATGAATGAATGATGTCTCATAAATCATCCTCCCACCCTACACTTAGCATTGTTGCAAAAATGGACTATTTTGGGTGTTTGTTTTTTAGTGACTAATGTAAATCATTAGGAAACATTTCTACAATGATTTTTAGAAACTGCAGTTTCAACTTTGAATATTATTCATAGCTCTCGTTTAAAAAAAGCATTGGTGCAATCTATTAGGTCATCAAGAAAGTCATGATGTAGTTTTCAATGTGAAAATGTATCATGACTTTTCTGACAACCAATAATAATCATTTGCTAGTATTCTAGAATTAGAAGCTACAGTCTTTGATTAGAAACAAGTAAGTTTAGAGGCCAGCAGGTGGCGTGGTGGTTAAGGCAATAGTCTCTGGTTTGAGTCCTGGACCTAGTGGCTTGAAAAACATGCTGGGTACATGTGCAAACGTGCCTAAAATTCTGATTGAAGAATAGAGAAGGTACCTTGGCATGGCCATTCCCCTGGGCAAGGGGGAACTGGTAATTTCTCACTTTCCTTCTCTTCTGTCTCTTTGGTAAGCACATGAGTCTTATATCAAAAAATCTAAAAAAAAAAAAATAGGGACAGAAATTTTGAAATTAGGACAGAAGAATGATTACTAGTACTAATAACAGTAACTAGTAATAATATTAGCTGGTTTGCTAAATCACACACTGCCAGGCACCATGCTGAGTGCTTTGCATTGCAGAATCTTATTTAACCTAACCACAGCCCTATGAGTTGCTGCTATTATCCCCATTTTACAGATGCTGAGTCTGAAGTCATCTGCTCATGGCCACAGTCGCTCAGCAAAACCAAGGCTTTATCCTGCATAATCATCTATTTATTACTTCTCAGATGGGAGAGAAATATTATAGTCACCCCACTGTTGCTTAAAACTCGCCTTAACTTTGCATGCCACATTGTAATTTTGTACTCATAAAGCTTTTTATCTGAAGTGATTTTTCTTTATTTCTTCCATGAAAAAATTGAGAGACAGGCAGAGAGAGAGGACCCCCAGAAGGGTCCTCACATCATGATTGATCCCCAGTCTCCCGCCGGCCCCAAGTCATGGACAAATGTATGCCCAGTGTGCTCAAGAAGGTCTCTGGACTTGAACCAGGAGCCTTCCCACATGGGACTGCATTTTACGTCCACGCTACCATCTGGCCTAGGTAACACATCATGTTTCCTTAGCTGTGTAGAGATGATTTCAAATGTCTATATATTCATCTGCCTTCTTGGTGGGTGAGTTTTACTCTTGGGTTTTGAGTAGTTTTCTCTGTATTACCAATCGGATATATCATACCCCAGACAAACCAAAACGACATTGGAAACCTTCTGGCCCTTATTTGCCTTGGCAAAAATGTATGGTGGTACTTGTTTCTCATGCGATGTTTTCTGAGGGTGCGAGAGCATGCGTGTGATCAGTGAGCAAACAGGGTTGATGAGCACTTTACGTGCTGGTTACTTTCTGGGCACAGATGGTGTGCAGAAGTGGAACACATGGCTCTTGTCCATTAGTGCTTAATCTGTGGTTGGGGAGAAATGATACGCTCCAAGTGACCGGCAGGAGGGAGTGATCACTTCGCGGAGGATGGCTTCATGGAGAGGGTGGAAAATGAACTTGGCCCGAAAGGATGGCTAGAATTCTGGTTAGTAGAGTTTCGGGAGAGGGCATTTCACATTGAGGGAATGGCATGAGCAGGGTTGTGGTGGCAGAAAATATGAATTGCATGAGGAACTTGGAGGAGGCTAGACTGGCTGGTTTGTAGACACCATCGGTGAGAATGAAGCTCAGAAAGATCACCATTTAGAAGGGACCATAGTATGTGGGTGTTCTGAGGTGGGGTGAGGCGCCTGGGTTCTTTCAGGAGAGGATGTGACTGATGAACTGTGACATGAGGGGACACCAGAAGAAGCTGTTGCTCACTGCAGGAGGGGCTTAAGGTGTGAGTTTGTATCGGCTTTTAGAAGGTACCCTGCATATCTACAAAGAAATGCTATACATTTTTATCATCTCAAAAATGTTCTTGAAGTTCTTTTACCTAGAACATTTATCTGTTCTCATATACTGGCCAAACTCTGAAGACTAGTGGGGGAAGCTGTGGCGGTGCAGTGGTAACACAAGGTCCCGCAGTACTGAGGCCGGTCTTATTACCCAAGGCACGCAGGTTGTGGGGACTTACTTGGTGCAGTGAAGTAAGATCAGTGCCCCCAGGGGTCACAGAGTTGCTTGGAGAATTTTAGAGTGTCACAAATGGTCTTGGGTTTGCCACTTAAGAGTTTGAGTGTGTTCGAAACTTGTCAACTGTGGGATTACACCTCACTGCTGTCTGTGAGCTGGCAGGAGTACCCGGGGTCCTGTGCCTGTTTACTGAATGCAAGGTGCTCACAGCAGCTACAGAGTGTGGGCTCTGTCTACAGTGGGTGCCGCTGGGCAAGTTACTTACCTATTGGTTTCTTGTAAAATTGTCTTTGGAGAAAAGCAAGTCAGTTCTATTTTCAGTTGGTTTATTTGTCTTTTCCTCATCAAATTGTAAAAGCTCTTTCTATATCCTGTATGCAGGTCCCTCATCACAGTTAGGGTTTGCATTTGCAGATATTTTCTCCCACTGTGTGGGCTGTCTTTTTACTTTCTTGATAGTATCGTGGGTAGCGTAAAAAGGTTTTAAACTTGACGAAGTTCAGTTTCTTACTTTCTTCTTGTGCTTTTGGTGTCACGTCTAAGAAGCCATTGCCTGTGGTTGGCTTTATTTGTCTGTTTTCTTCTAAGTTGTATCCTTCACTTACATATAGCTTTGTGATTAATTTTGAGGTTTTTTTGTTTTTGCTTTTTAGCTTATGGTGTGTTGAAGAAGCTGCATAATTCTTAGAAATTATGTGTTTGGTAAATGTAGAGCATCTGGTTGATTTGAGTGGTCACATCTCCATATACACAGAATGCCCGGAGGGGAAGATGTTAAAAAAAAAAAAAAAAAAAAAAAAAACAGCGTTGAGATTTAACCCTACTCAGCTCCTATTCTAATCTCTGCATCTGGCTGCAGGACCCAGAAAAGCTTAGAGTCATTTTTTAGGAGAAATGAGGGTTGGCATGAAAACCACAAGTATGCAAAGGAAGGGATGACAAGTCCACTAACTCTGAGGTCTTCTGTTGAGTTATTTTCTTATCTCCACCACAGATAACAGTTGGTTTATAATTTTATGGCTAGTTCTTTAGTAAGTCTTCTATCTTTGACACATTTCATCTGGTATGCTTTTTTCTTTCCACTCCCCATCCTCTTTCCCACCCACTGTGGAAAACAGAAAAATGACTTTACAGTACAATGTCAAATTTAGGTTAGGCTTGCTTACCACGCCTTGGCCCTTATTAGGTTGACCAGATGTTCCCCATTACCTTAGTTATACCTCAGACCCTGCTTAGTAGGCAGCAGTTTTTAGTAGTCTGTGTTGGCTTGGCCAAGTGAGCCTGGAAGGATTTCTCTTGGCTGGAGTTTTTGGTACAAATTAGTGATGTTTCTACCCATATGGACCCACATGTCTGCAGAATGAGCTGCACACGTGGTAGCCTCAACTAACTCACTGGAACTGCTCAGTCTGACATACTGAGATACCTAAGGAGTGCTGCAATCATTCTGGAGTGGGCCAGCCCGGTGGCCTTGCGATTAAGGGAGCTGGATCCTATGTGGCTGCTTAGAGTTCCGTCTTTCTCTCTGTCTCTCTCCGGTGAGTGCATGTGCCTTCTAGAAATTTCAAAAAAAAGTCTATCTGGAAAGTTGTTGAAATGGTTGTTATTGGGACCAGCAGTTAGCGTAATGGCTATGTCGCTGGACTCCCATGTAGTCGACCGTGGTTCGAGTCCCGGACCCTGTGGCTTAAACTCACGCTGGGTGCGTGTGCGTGCATGCCCAAGATCCCGGGAGGAGAAGGGATTGCAGCGTGGCCATCCCCCCCAGGGGGGTGATTTCTCGCTTTCTGTCTCTCTGTCTCTCTTTGTCTGTCTGGTGAGCACACACGCCCTATAACAAAAACCTCTCTGAAAAAAAGGTTGTTATTTTGCCTTTTTTCTTAGTTTTTATTTTGTCTAAGATATCCACTTGTTTCAGACTGATGTTCATTTTTGTGTATTTTTAAAAAGGGGCTTTGAAAAGCTGAGGATTAAGAGTTGAGTCTTCGGAGAGTAGGATCAGATCAACTGTGGGACAGCATTACCTCCATTGGAATTCAGAGCCTTTACGTCTAGACTCTTGGTGCACAGGGTGTAATTGAGGTCGGACTTTTTTCCTGTGCTCATGAGCCATTCATGCTTCATTTGAAAAGATTTTGCTGTTCCTGTGTTTTGTGTTGGAAAGCTAGTTTTTATGAACGTATAGAACTCTTTGAGTTCTGTTAAGATGTTTTAGGGTTTGGCTAGCTTCATAGCACAATTCATAGTGGGTCGGATCCCTGCAAGTTCACTGCCATTCAAATCCTGGCTCGTGCAGCTTGAAAACCATGCGGGCATGCATGTGTACATGTGAACTCAAACTCACGACAGGGCGGAGGGAAAGGCATTGCAGTGAGACCACAGCGAACCCGGGTTTCTTTCTCT